AAATCATTTTGAGTTTAGTCAAAATAATTTGATTTTAAATAATTTTGAGCATATTTGAAATTAATTTTGAGATGTTTAGAAATTAATTTATAGTTAAATACTTAAATGAATATATTAATATAAATACTTCATTATGTTATATGCATCATATATTTTATGTAAATATTTGTTTAAATTTAGAGTCAACCTAATCAATGAGAGATTATTGGGTCAGGTCACCAGATACAGCTTATATTCGGTACGCGGTACTGTTCAGTATTGAGTACCGAGCTAAATACCGAGTGGAGGTGATGTGGCGCATTTTTATTGGGCTCCGAACACGTTCGGTGACCTGACCAAATAATTCGTCCCTAATCAATAGAGGGAGTGGGGACAAACTAGAAATTGGTGGTGAGTTTTTAGGGGAGTTTGAATTTCTTGCCAAGATAAATTTCGTGCAAACTTCGTTCTTTTTTTAACGTCTTTATTTTACACATTGAATAAACATAATCTTAAGTATATTAATGCTTGGTATATCAACATAAAATATATTCAATCAAGTACATATTTTTTTGTAAGTATTTAAGTTAAAAAAAGTTTTAAACTGAAAACTTGGGCCATTGTCGATGAGCTGTCATTGTCAATTCAGCACCAGCACCGCTATATTATTGTTCCCAAGCCATTATTGTATGTGTGTCAAACCCTGACTCGAACTTGACACAAAAATTTGATTTTGGACCCGAAAATCCGAAAATGATCCGATTTTGACCCATAAAATTGAAAGGTACCTTCACAGGGAGCGAACTCCCATTGTTGCTTCCAATCAAAATGTTGTAATTTCCGATCCGATCAGAACTTCAAAAGTGAACGTCATCCAAGGAGCGAAGTTGAACAACAACGGAGCCGACGAGGCGGCTATTCCTTCACAGCGAGCAAACTCCAGTCGTTGGCTCGTTGCTTCCGATCAAAATGTTGTGACTTCTGATCCGAACAGAAGTGAACTTCGTCCAAGGAGCGAAGCTGAACACCAACGAAGGAGTCGGCGGCTACTCGTTCACAGCGAGCGAACTCCCGTCATTGTTTCTGATCAAAATGTTGTAACTTTCGATCACTTCGGAAGTGAACATCATCCAAGGAGCGAAGTTGAACATGAACGAAGGAGCCGACAATGAGGTGGCTACTCCTTCACATCGAGTGAACTCCTGTCGTTGCTTTCGATCAAAATGTTGTAACTTGCTATCATTCCGAAAGGGAGCATCGTCCAAGGAGCGAAGTCGAAAAGGAACGAAGGAGTCAACAGTGAGGTGGCTACTCCTTCACAGTGAGCGAACTCCCGTCATTGCTTCAGATCAAAATCTTGTAACTTTCAATCCGACCGTAAAGGGAACTTCGTCCAAGGAGCCAAGTCGAACAACAATGCACAAAAGGGAGAAAGTTGCCTTCATAGCGAACGAAGTTGAACAATAACACACTTTTCGGGTCGAGTTCGGGTCCGAAAAACTGCTCCGTTTGCAAAAATAGATTGGGTTCGGGTTGACCTGAATAGTGTCTGGTTAGTTCTGAATTCAACCTGAATCCGACCCGTGACCCGAAATTGACACTCCTAGACTTTCATGTCATCGAATTACATCGCATGGCCCTAATTGCCTTCCATCAATTGACACTAATGCATTCAGTCACTTGACGACCGTGTCCCATTATCAACTAACAATAATGATCTTTATCGCTCAAACACCTTTACAGATTATCGATCGACACTGACAATCATCATAGTATGCCAACTACACATTTTAGATTTTATAGTACCACTTCATCCAATTAAGGGAAATTGTAGACTTTTCTAATCTTGGTGTGGTCATCTTTATGGTCATTTTGGGTGAACCACATTTTTTAATCAACCATTATGATCCAATAAATGACAATAGATATTAACTTAATTTATGATATAATATTCGATTAATCTATATTAACTTCATGCCCATCACATATATTCCCTATGACAATCCCTATTTTTTCTAGGGAGAAAATTGTATCAACGAATAAGTTTTGAATTAAGATGAAAAAAAGATGATCAAAATTAATTACATATATATAATTTATTAATATTATTATTTATTGTTATTTAAATATTATTAATTTTAAATAATAAACATTTGTTAGCATCAATCTATTTAGTTTAAGGTATTTTTTAATCAAATATATATAACAAATCTCCAGAACAACAATTATCCTCATTGTCTGGCTATTCATTATTCCCAAAACTACTAACAATATTCTTCTATTTTCTATGAAATTGGAATATTGTTAACGGCCAAAGTGCCAAACTACCGTTGGAAGTAAATCATTTGCTTATCTTAGGATTAATTTTGTTGATCATTTGGATTTATATTTGTGATATAATTCTCATTAACTTTTGCTAAATTTCCAATAATTTGATGAAAGAACTTGAGTTAGCGAGACCCAAAAGTTAACTTATCCAATGATCAGAAGGTATTACTCACCTGGGCCTACATAAGGAGGTCAGTCATAATAGGAGGTGGTCAAGGGTCATCGAAAATCAAGTGACTCGTTACATAAGGAGTCGGTCATTAGGGCCACTTGCTCTCATCCAGGGCGGGTACTCTCATTCATGTTTGCCAACCTCAAATATAAGAAAACACCAAACCACAAGGCTTTCAGCTTACCTTGCCTTGACCATCCAACCAAACAACTCTGCCTCCTCACAACAAAAACTCACACTCCTCCCTCACTAGGCGATTCAAGGCTCAATCATCGGTCGTCGACAACCACAACTTGCTTGTCAGTTGCAAGCCCCCTCAGCTCGATACTCACCAATAGACTTGACCATGCATAAATACTTATTTGAACCTACTTAGCACTACTAAACTTTCTAAGAGATATATCATCAAAGTCATAGAGCTCCATTCTTCACTCAGCTAGTTAGAATGCAACATGTGTCTAGGATAGCATGTATTGATAATTATTAAATCAACATATTTTTTATTCTTTCAATATGTAGCATTTCCTATAGGCCTGAGATCCATATAAATATAGAGTGAAAATGCCTATTTTGGATTTTTAACTTAAAAGGGGATTTTGAGCTTCTTGAGAACTTATATTATAAATTTTCTTTAGTAAACAATTTTAACTCCATTCTCAAAAAGAATTCAAATTACCCTTCTCAAATTTCATATACTAGTAAGATCTGGTGTCATTTACAAACAAATTTTGATCCAACACGATAGTTCAATTAGATAAATAGATAAATTTTGGATGGTATGCATGTAATTTCCCCTATTTTTTAAGAAGGGATGCGTAAAAATGATAATTATTTTTTGAAGCATTATCATAATCATTTAACAAATTAATAAATTGACACAAATATGCTTAGTAATGATTTTTCATGATGGTTTATCAAATACAACATAAAACTCGAAAATAGTAAAATCAATTTTATTTTTCAATTTATGTCAACATTGAAAAACAAATTATTTCACAAATTAAATGACTCAGCCACTCAATTCTTATCTAAAATTAACTTAGCTTATTTTTCTTTATTTAATATAAATTTTCAAATATGCACCCTTATGTGATCTCAAATAATTACATATATATAGTTTATTAATATTATTATTTATTGTTATTTAAATATTATTAATTTTAAATAATAAACATTTGTTAGCATCAATTTATTTAGTTTAAGGTATTTTTTAATCAAATATATATTTTGATTTTTGACACACTAAAAAAAAAAGCTTTACTTTTAACATTCCTAAAGTTTGAATTTTAAATGCTCAATTTTACCCCCATTTTTATTTTTAAAAAAGAACAAAGATGCTTAGATGAAATGTGACCCAAAATATTTGATGAAAGATTTGAAAATAAGACAAGCTTTACTTTCTTATTTACTCATGAAAATTAAAAAGAAAAAAGATTAAAAGAATAATTTGAAAATTCATGACATTTTTTTTGTTATTTTTTTCCTTTTGTACATAATAGCCTTTTTTAAATTAATACAATTTCTTAAATTTAGGCTTCGTTTGAGACATCTTTTTTTACTGCTTTCTAAATTATTTTTTTTGTTAAAAAATTTGTTGAAAGCATTGAAAAAGTAATGATCAGAAGCAGTTCCAACCGAAACCATAATCTATGTATAATATCTTATCCAATAAGTAATGCTTTAAGCTTTAAGGGTTAAAAAAATGATTTCATATTAATTTAAGGGAAAGTTAAAATTTCAATTTCATCACTAAAAAGAAGATAAAGATAAAATTATATGCATTCCAATACAAAGTGACATCATAGTAAGTTTGATTGTCTTTAGATTTATTCTGAAATTAGTGCTACTTATGATATATAAGAATATGTTGATTTCAGTGTAAATTTAAAGACTTTCAAGTCTTCGCGATAACGCCAATTACATCATGATACTTTTACAATAGATTGACTTACATGTTACGAAATTTTTATTTATTTATTTATGATATGATTTAAAGATTTTAATGATATTAAGTATGTAAATATAAAAAATTATATTTAATTACTTAATATAAAATCTTTAAATCATATATTAAATATCATTACTGTTTATTTATCTAAAAAAAATTTATGCATATATGATGTGCTTCAAATATTAAAATATTATATAAATAAAAATAAAATTTAAATATTATATATATAAGAATTTGTGGTGTATATGTAATTACTTTTTATTTAATTGTAGGTTCAAGTGTTCAACACTTGTCATGCATAGTTTTTCCATTTTATTTTTCAATAAAAAAAGAATAAAAAAACAGGTGGCAGGATTAGTTTGCCACGGATGTCAGCCCAAATCATAGAGCTACAGGTGGCCGGCCCATCAAACTCTGGCCCACCTAAGAACTGGCCCACCCTATAAGTTCCTTCCCCTCCGCTGGCATTAATCAAATATGTTAAACAGTTAAAAAGCATCTCCTTTTCACACTTCTTAAGTTCTTTACTCATTCCTTCTCTCTCTCTCTCTCGCTCTCGCTCTCTCTCTCTCGCTCTTCTTCCCATCTTTATTATTACTACTAGTTTTAGTAGTAGAAAAATCGCTAGGCTCCGCGGAGAGAAGAAAACGCCGAGAATAAACAAATGGCTAACAGAAAGAAATAAAGAAGAGAAAATAAAGGAAAAAACAAAACTTTGAAATGAACTTTGCGGTTATATAGAAGCAGAGCATCCGTGCTTCTCTCTTCAATATCCACTCCCTCGCCTTTTTCTTTCCATTCGCCGTCATGGCCTGGAAGGCACTAACGGCGTTTGCTGTGGTGCTGACGGTGTTTGCTCTGCTTCCGCCGTGTCTTCTAACTCCGGCCGCTGCCTCTGTTTCCTACGACCATAAGGCCATTATCATTGACGGGCAGCGACGGATTCTCATCTCCGGCTCTATTCACTACCCGAGGAGTACACCGGAGGTGAGCTCGTGCTTTCACTGGGAAATGTGGCTTCTTGGTTTATTTTTTGCTCATTTTCTTGCGTTAATGTTCGGTTTGGATGTATTGGTTTGTCTGCAGATGTGGCCGGGTCTTATTCAGAAGGCAAAAGATGGAGGCTTGGATGTGATTCAGACCTATGTGTTCTGGAATGGGCATGAGCCTTCTCCTGGTCAGGTATTCACCATCAGTACGCAAGGTCCCTTTTTTTTATCTACCTTTCTTTGTTTTCTTGCTTGGTTTTGATAGATTTTTCTGAGTTTTGGTTTCTGTAAATTGGTTTAGTATTACTTTGGGGAAAGGTATGACCTTGTTCGGTTTATAAAGTTGGTGAAGCAGGCTGGCCTTTATGTTCATCTCCGCATTGGTCCCTATGTTTGTGCCGAATGGAATTTTGGGTAAAGCTTTTTTTTTTTTTCTGATTATATATGGACGAATGTTGCTTGATTCTTTTCTGAACTCCTGGTTGTTATATTTGCAGTGGCTTTCCAGTTTGGTTAAAATATGTTCCTGGCATCAGTTTCAGAACTGACAATGGGCCTTTCAAGGTTACGATTTGCTTCATATCGATCTGTCTTTATTTTTGGGATAAATTTATCATCTTCCTGCAAAATATAAACTTTTGATTCTATTTTATTATGGAAAAAGGCTGCTATGCAAAAATTCACTGAGAAGATAGTCTCAATGATGAAAGCTGAAGGGCTCTTCGAATCTCAGGGTGGCCCAATCATTCTCTCTCAGGTATTCTCGATTTCCATTAATGATTCTATCTGTTATCTAATTGATGAATTTAGAAGCTTGGTATCTGAATTGTTCAATCCTTCTTTCAGATTGAGAATGAGTTTGGGCCATTAGAATACAACGGCGGAACTCCGGCGAAATCTTATGCCAACTGGGCTGCTAGCATGGCCGTTGGCTTGAAGACTGGCGTTCCATGGGTCATGTGCAAGCAAGACGATGCTCCTGATCCAGTTGTATGTTTATTTAATACTCCATTGTTCTTCCATTCCTTCATACTGTGACAGCCTTTCTCTACACTCATTAAATAGCACCAGCTTCCTTCTGACTTAGACCACCTTAGGTCCCACTGCACATGACTTATACATGCTTGTTTCTTGTTTTCTGTACTTGTTTTACTTTTATCATTACTGTTCTCAATTCCTTTTTATTGTGGTTTTGCATAAAAGAAGTTTTGTTGTTGATATTTATTCAATTTGTCATATCTTTCAATGTTTAAGTATTGAGAACCAAATAGAAGACTAAGACTATTGATGGATGTTAATCCCCATCGTTTTTGGTTCCTAGGAAAGTAGTTTGCAGTATTGCATTATATTTATTTCATGTTTTTAATAACCTATGATTGGCACTTGGCTTCACAGATTAACACCTGCAATTGCTGTTAAATTTTGGAGTATAATTTTTGCTCTACGAAAAAAAAAAAATGCTAGAAAGATTTAGGCTTCGTTTGGGATGACTTTTTTTATTGCTTTTTAAATTAGCTTTCTGGACAAAAATTTTAATTTTTGTATTAAAAAGTTGTTTTAAGAAGCAGAAAAAAGCCGTCCCAAACGAAACCTTAATCACAGGTGTCCAATATTTATGGGTCATCTACTCGTCTCCTTAAAGACGCTTTGAAGGCTTTTGATAATTTAAATTACAATTAGGTGTATAATTCCTTACATTTAAGGCTTCGTATGTGACGACTTTCTCACTGCTTCTTAAAATAGCTTTCTAATTCAAAAATTAAAATTTATATACTAGAAAGATGCTTTAAGAAGAAGTAAGAAAGTCATCCCAAACGAAACCTAAATAATACAAAATCTACTGCAAAGGCGACAAGAATTATCAATCAATTGCATGAATTTGTATTAGAATTTGTGTTTGTGCTATGATTTTTTATTTTTATTTTTGCAGTGATGTATTTGTTATCTTCATTTCATGTTTTGAATAACCTATGACTGGCACTTGGCTTCACAGATTAACACCTGCAATGGTTTCTACTGTGACTACTTCCACCCAAACAAACCTTATAAGCCCACCATGTGGACTGAGGCTTGGACTGGATGGTAAATTTTCTTTGGCGTATTATTTCACTTCATAGCATTGGCTGTCTAATTAATGTTCCTATATAAAATATTCAGATTTTCTTCTGTATAGGTACACAGCTTTTGGTGGTCCAGTTTCTCACCGACCTGCTGAAGACATGGCCTTTGCTGTTGCAAGGTTTATTCAGAAAGGTGGATCCTTTATTAACTATTATATGGTAAGAAAGTTGTATATGTAAGATTCAAATTCTCAAATTCTTATAAGAAATTTCCTTAAGATTAAGTTATCTAATTTTTACAAGAAGTTGCAACATGCATTATGAGTTTTCTTACTTTTGTAAGAACTCACATTCCAAATTATGCAAAAGAAATCGAAACGAAAACATGAATTTACATAAATCTTAAATCCACAAGATCTTAAACAAGATGATTTTCACAAAATTTTAATCGGAAGAAAAACATACATTTATTCATGATGAATTTGGTTAATTCCAAACTACGGTTTCTCTCTTTTTTTCCCTTGCCTATGCTTTTGCGGGACAAGGATTCGTCAAGTTCGATCAACAGGATTAAGAAATTCCAAGTCTTTTTTTGTTGATCAGGCGACACCCAGATTCGAACTGGGGATAAAGGATTTGCAGTCCCCCGCCTTACCACTTGGCCATGCCGCCAAATTCCATCCAAAATGGATAAAGAAATAAAGAAATTCTATATTCTTATCTTTCTAGAATTTCTAGAATCCTATTTATTATTTCTTTATTATTATTCTCTTTCTATTCCTCTCCTCATTTTGTTTTGATTTGAATTTTTTACTTTCTGAATTCCTTTTCTTTTTGGATCTTGAATCCCGTTGTACTTTAAGTTCATAACTCCAGCCCATTCCCATAACTCCCCATAATGAGAGAGATATGACCAGTAATTATTTCCTATGGATTAGTTATAATAACCGCTCATATGAGTTATTTGATCAAACGGTCCATAAACGATTGATCAAATTATCTCTTCTTAACCAATAGGATTTCATATAAAATAATTAAATTTCAATAATTCAAATATATGAGCCACTTAAATATTTATATAATTAAATATATATACTTAAATAATTATTACAACATCTTGCATAATTATTATATTTAATTATTCTAACAGTATATATAGATATGCCTTAATTTGATTTTAATTTTATCCAGTAGAAATGTTGAGCTTTTCCTTAATCTATCTGCAATTTTTTATTTCTGCAGTATCATGGAGGAACAAACTTTGGTCGCACCGCTGGCGGTCCATTCATTGCAACTAGTTATGACTATGATGCTCCAATAGATGAATATGGTATATATTAATTGACCTTATCATCTATTTATTTAATGATACTTATGCAGTGATTATTTTTTAAGAACAGTAAAAAGTGCATTTTTTTAAATATTTTTTCTATGCCCACTTGAAATAAATGACGGGCAATGAATAGACCTTCTTGATGGCCTGCATGTCTACTTGACCTCTTAAAAAACTTTATCCCATGCTTTTTTTAAGAAGATGGTTGTTTTATCATGTAAATCTACATAGTTTTTTATTCATTATAAATGGCTCTTTGCTTGTAGATTAAATTATATGGCTTATGGATATTGTTAGAGCTTGTGACTTGGATTATGTGAGGTTTGGACCTAAAAGCTTCAAGCGCGATATATGTGATAAATTTTTTTTTGGGAACGGGGTATCCACCCGCTGCCACCTTCAAAAAGGGGCTTAGTGGCGTGACTAATCTTCGGCTGACTTAAAAGAGGCACCCACCCCACAAACCTCCTGACCCGCACTTGATTGGGCCCCACTTAAGAGGCACTGCCGCTCGAGAGAGATCGAGCACTGATTGAGGGGTTCCCAACCGTACTCGCCCACCAACTAAGCTAAGCATCGGTGGATATACCATTTTAATTATGAGAATTTGTTGGGATCTGCGGTGCTACTAAGGAGATTGGGCTCATAAGCAACCTAACGGGGGTGGTAGATCCTATTGTATGGACCTTTATTATTATGTTATGTAAGCTGCCACTCTCCTGTTGTATTAGTTTTTGATATTGTTAATTCTTCTCTTCAGCTCATAATTTTCTACCATGTAAATTTGAGTGTTTTTTTCTTTGAGTTTTGTCGCCTGTTTTTTTATGTTAGAATTACACATACATTTTTTAAATAAATTTATTAAATAAGAATTTTGATATATTTGAGCAAGAATAACAACTTTTTCTCTGAACTAGGAATACTAAGGGAACCAAAATGGGGACATCTCAGGGATCTACATAGAGCAATTAAGTTGTGTGAACCAGCTTTGGTTTCCACCGATCCAGTCGTGTCGTCTCTGGGGCATTCTCAGCAGGTTTAATGTTAAGTTTAAACATCTGAAATATCAAATTATAATTTTTTTTTTTCTTTCAAATTGAGACTTTGGCTAACTTAAATAATTTCTTTCCAGTCTCATGTATTCAGGTCAAATTCCGGGACTTGTGCTGCTTTTCTGGCCAATTATGATTCACAGTCTTCTGCAACGGTAACTTTCAATGGCATAGGCTATAATCTTCCTCCTTGGTCCATCAGCATCTTACCTGACTGTAAAACCGCAGTTTTCAATACTGCAAAGGTAAAAATTTGTTCTTTTAACATTTTCTCTCTCACTATGGCCTATTGCATCATCATCTTCTTGTTAGTTCTCCTTTTCATAGAAAGTTTCTTCTTTTCATTCCTAACCTTTCCCCACATTAAAGAAATAAAAATTGTAAAAACTTCTTTTGTTTGATTGGGGTTCTGAACTTTTAGGCTAAAAATTAGTTTTTTCCTCTCACATTTTCCTCTTGCAAATTACAGATAGGAGCTCAGACCTCACTGGTGGGCATGCAACCAGTGGAAAACTTTTCATGGAAATCATATAGGGAAGAGACCAATTCTCTAGATGAAAGTTCCTTTACTAAAAATGGATTGTATGAGCAACTTAGTCAAACATGGGATAAATCAGACTATCTTTGGTATACAACTTTGTGAGTATCGAATTCGATATAGCCATTTTCGATTCTTTTCATTGTATAATCCTTACTCTCATGTTCAGTTTTCACTCTCAACTCTTCCAATCTTTATTTTTCAGTATCAGCATAGGACAAGGTGAGCAGTTCTTGAGGACAGGAAATTATCCGGTCCTTGCCATCTCTTCGGCCGGCCATGCTTTGCACGTTTTTGTCAATGGACAATATGCAGGTAGAATGAAAGTTCCATATTAGATCCTGATAATGATAAGAATTTCTTAAGTAATTAATTATTGTCATATTTCATTTTGGTTTCAGGGAATGCTTATGGTAGTCTCAGCAATCCAAAATTGTCATATAGTGGTAAAGTGAATTTGAGGGCTGGAAGCAATAAGATCTCTATATTGAGTGTAGCTGTTGGACTCCCAGTATGCTCTTTTCATATGAATTTTTTTGCTATTCAAACATCACCAAAGTTTATTAAAGATCTAATACGTTTATGTTGATGAAAATTCGAAAATTTAGAATGTTGGATCTCATTTTGAGACTTGGAATACTGGGATTCTTGGTCCAGTGATTTTAAGTGGCCTCAATGAAGGAAACCGAGACCTTTCTCATCAGCAATGGACTTATCAGGTCAGTTATCCTCTCTTTCATTCTCCAATCAGTACCAACAATATTGAAAGTTGAAACTTTCTGATCGACAATTCGATTTAGGTTGGAGTGAAAGGTGAACACCTGAGTCTTCATTCCTTAGATGGAAGCTCCTCAGTTGAATGGGGAGATGTGTTTCCTAAGCAACCTTTGACATGGTACAAGGTGAGAGATGGAAATTTTGCTTTCATTGTTAACTGAAGAAACAAGAAAAATGAAATTTCTCAAAATTGTTTAATTTCCTCCAGGCTTTCTTCAATGCTCCAGGTGGTAATGAGCCACTGGCATTAGATATGAGTAGCATGGGAAAAGGTCAGATTTGGATAAATGGTGAAAGCATCGGTCGTTACTGGCCTGCTTACAAAGCATCCGGTTCGTGTGGTTCTTGTGATTATCGAGGCACATATAGTGAGAAAAAATGCCCAAGTAATTGTGGGGAGTCATCTCAGAGATGGTAAGCAATGTCATTCCTTCAACTAAATATTTGAATTTATTAGTAACTCTTAAGATAATGATAAAATCGTAGAACAAAATCAAAATACCAATGATCTCAAGCATGAGACCTATTAATTTATGTGATTTGGTGAGATCCACCTATGAACAAAACTGCACAATGATCACATAATCACTAAATTTTAAAATAAATATATGGAGAAATTACAATTCATATATATAGACAATACTAGTACTTTGTCTGTGTTAATGATTGAAAGAAAATACAATTGCTTGTTGTAAACATGAGGGCTGAATGTAGAGAATAAGATGTTGATATTGCTTCTCATTCTCTCTTGTCAGATCTGCTACAAGGCTTCTTTCTCTTTCTCTTTTTGCTTTAGTTGTGGGATGCTTGTAACTGTTGATTTGTTCTCCCTTTTCTAGTTGCAGAATAAGATAGTAGGTGTGAAAAATCAAATAGAAATGCCTTTTGAGTTTTATAGTGGCCAATATTAAGATTTAAAACCAAAATGTATATAAGATGATTTAGACTTCATACTTAACACTAATGATACCAAATGTGTTAGGTATCATTTACCTCGGTCATGGCTGAAACCAACGGGGAATTTGTTGGTCGTGTTCGAAGAATGGGGCGGCGATCCAAGTAAGATTTCTCTCGTTAAAAGGACTGTCAAGAGCATTTGTGCCGAAGTTACAGAACGGCAACCAACATTTGATAATTGGCGAAATAAGCAAAATGGAAAGCCTAAAGCTTATCTGTCTTGTCCTGCTGGGCACAAAATGACCAGTATAAAGTTTGCTAGCTTTGGAACTCCTCAAGGAGGATGTGGAAGCTATGAAGAAGGTAGCTGCCATGCTCAGAAATCACATAATGCATTTACAAAGGTAGTACTTTCTACACTATCTCCAGTTTTTTTACATATGATGCATTGGAAACATTCAGGTTAAATATCCTAATTTGATTATCAATTTAACACAGGATGGCTTGTTACCGAACTGCTTGGGACAGCAAGCTTGCTCAGTAGTTGCTGATTCTGAAGTTTTCGGTGGAGATCCGTGCCCAGGAATGGTGAAAAAGCTTTCTGTCGAGGCCGTCTGTGCATAAAAGATAGGTCGTTATCAGTTTAAGCATACAGAGGTGACATTCACTTCTCATTTATATAGCATAATTCATCTAAGCACATAAATTTTTAAGATATATTGGTTGCAAAAAGGATGGAAACTTTGGAGGCTGCTGATTTTTACAGTGAGTTATTGAAGTTGCAGAAACTGCAATTAACTGTATTTAGAAATCCACCAAATTTGAAAAGATGAAATCATTCTTGTAAACAAAGATGCAAAAGGCATAGAGGCCTTCATAGCTTTGTAATTTAAGGATGTTAGTAAGTTTTCCATGTTTGAATTGTTTACCTTTTGAATGGTCAATTTTATCATTAGATGAAGACATTTAATTAGTACTCTTACAAAATAAATTGCTTTGATATGTACTGAACTTCCTTTTTAATTTTCTTCTCAATCATCATTCTTTTTTTCTCTCTTGAAGCACAAATCAAGCACATTGAGTAAAGATTATTACTGTCTATTAAGAGTTATGATGAATAGATACTTTAAAACTTAGAACAATTGAGAAAGTGATTGAAGGGTGATTTTGCAAATGATTTTAATTATTGAACTTCAATCCTCAAGGATTCTTCTCTGGTTATTTGTTTAGTTATACTAATTTTTAATGGTTTATTACTCTATAAACATATATTGATATGTCATTTTAATCTTTATTATTATTGGTATCACCCTATTTGTTGCTATTTACTTTAATGAAATATTTTACTAGTTCTTTAAAAAATAACCCCAAAATTTACTTAATTATGAAAATCCCCTCCCTCAGCTTGAGATATGATAAAATTTTGAAAGATTAAGGCTCTGTTTGAGACAACTTTAGGCCACTATTTTTTTTTATCTGCTTTCGAAAGATTTTACTAAAAAAGAACTTTACAAAGCAATTGAAAGGCGTCCCAAACGAAGCCTAAAAATTTACTAAGGCTTCGTTTGGGCCGGCTTTTTTAATGCTTCGTAAAGCAGCTTTTTAGTATAAAAATTTTAATTTTTAGAATAAAAAGCTGTTTTTAAAAGCAATAAAACAGCCGCCCCAAACAAAGCCTAAATTGGGCTTGTAGGTTTAATCAAGGTGAATTGGGGTTGGCTAACTTAAGGGCAAATTAGAAAGGGGCCATGCCTCTCAAAGCTGGTGGAAAGCAATGTAATCACTACTGTTTTTATATTTAGGTGGTTGAGAAATGACTCATTGAACAAACACATTAAATAGGCCAAAGTGAAGGCCAGTATTTTAGCAGTTGGTCAGTAGCTTTCTAAAGTCTTGGCATGAAATTATGGTTTCTTTCTGTTTGAAAAGGACATCTATATATAATATGGAGTTTATGAACTTATTATTTATATAACTATTTATGCCTTATCTTCATTGGTTATGAAATTAAATATTGAATGATTGATGTAAATTTTACTATTATAGGTTTCTTATTGTTGTACTGAAATTGTAACGCAAAAATATATTTGCAGAAAGCATTCTTGCTTATGAATATTTTTGCATAATCAACTCAATAAGGGTGCAAATTAGCTGCATATAACTATATAAGTTAATTTATTTCTGGGATCTTTTTGTTAATTTATTTTTTTTATTGTTGGTGTTTGATTGATAAACCTTTTTTCTATATTTAAGATTCATTATTATGTAAATTATTCATGAATATAAACGAGCACAAATAATAAGAATATGATTATATATAAATTTTTTTCTCATGTAATATTAATTATAGTCTAATTTTATTAATTATTTTGGACAGGATTTGATGTTTTTTTTTCAAAATTAGTGATGATTATACAAATCTTTGTAAAACTTACCCAAATAGCATCCCATAACAAGAAGCAACAAAATGAAGAGAGGGGAGACATCCAAGAAAGAAAATAAGATTTTTTTTTTTTCTGGGAGCTTGTAAGGGGAGTTCCTCGGGTTCTTTAAGAAGGAAGAAGTGTTGGTATTTTTAGTTTTGATAAGAGAACAAACTATGGATCATAGCAAAGAATAGTTCTTTTTTGGAACTCCCACAATGGAGAGCAGAAGAGAAATTATATCGATAACATTTCTTTCTTTACATCTAGCCCTTATTTTTGTAGTAAATGTCTATTTTCTTTCTTAATTAAATAAAGTGGTATCTCTGTCTATATCTCAAACTTTATATGAAGTGTAATCATTTGTATACTTTCTTTGAAATTTAGTGAATTATTTAATATTTATGTGACCATTAACGTATGCTTACTTAAATCAAACCACATAAATTTTGTTTTATTTTTTGTGGTACTTGATCTAATTTTTTAGTTATTGTGTGGTTCATTATACTTGTTGGGCTAAGGCATACTCTTTTTTTTTTTTCTAAAAACTAGCATCAAAGTGAGTTTATGAAAAATTTGATGGCTATTAAGTTTGATAGCTCAAAGGATTTTGACTTTTGGATAAATAAGATGCATGTCATCTTCTCAAGCAAGGACTTGTGTTATTCATAGGCGACTTAGTATTTTGTTTTGCAAGTTAACTAAGATTAATTATGGATGGGTTGTATTCATGCTATATACACTCTTCTTTTAGTAATCTAGTGTATTCTTCAAAAGTCCTTTCGGTAGTGCCCTTCAAGTTCTTTTCACAAGCATGTCAGTTGACTGTTATGAACATTAGAAGTTCTATGTTGCTTGTGAGTGAGATGGAAAATTTTTCCTTATCCACCACAAGTCTTAGTAGTTGCTCATTGATGTCCATTTTTATAACTTGAATCGCATTTTAAGATTAGTATCTTTAGTTTGTTTGTGCATTTTATAAGTTTAGGGTCCAGTTCCCTGTTGTTTATTTTGCAAGTTATGTTCCCAACTGTTTGATTACAAGTTTAGTTCCATACAGCCTCCTAGCGTTTCTCTGTTTAGAGGAAATTTAGGGAGCCTTAGCATGCCCACCACGTCAAGAATGACACGTATAGTTGGTGTCGGGAAAAACTGCGACTGTGTCATCAATCCCACCATGCCAATAAAGACGTGCATGGGCCTTCACAGGTATTTGTTTAAAGAAGCACAGTTTTTCTCCGCATGTATTGAAGCTAGTACACAAGTACTTTTGTTTTACCACGCCATGCTAAGAATAGCATGCACAAGACTCACCACCTCACAATAAGCACCATAGTAAGAAAAGCTTGTATATGTGTTTTTCAGGTGCATCGTGAGCACTGAAAGCAAGATTTGAGGTTTTGAGTTTTAGAAGTCATTTATACCTTTGTGACGAGTGACAAGGGTGGTGTCGAGGCAACAACGATAGCGACGATAGTGTAAATTCTTCACCTCTCTCTCTCTCTCTCTCTCTCTCTCTCTCTCTCTCTTTACTGTTATTAATCAATAATAATAATATTATTAATTAGAGGTAGAGGATGCTTTTTGATTCATTTTAGGATTATTATCTTTAATTCGTTTGTGCATTTTAAAGTTTAGGGTCCAGTTCCCTGTTATTTAGGCAAATTTGACGCTCCAATTGTAACGACACAATCTATTTGGCAAGCGAATTTTGTTTAACTATTTAAGTGACACATCATGCCCACCGACCATCACATAAATTATCAATTTCACCTTTTTTACACTTATTTCGGTGTATGGGTCAACAGTGATAATCATTACCATGAAAAAGTCTTCCCGGGTACATGCTCCTCCACTAGAATTTGTTTCAGTATACATGGTAATGTTGATGAAAGCACTATAATCCTTTTCATTTTTAGATTCTTATATTAGATGAAGATGATTGTATGTTTAAATTTATAATATTATATATGTATTGGAGATGTTTATTTGAGCTTGATGATTACTTTCAATTTATTTGAAGTAATGATTGTATTATCTTTATGTAAGAAATTAAGTTCATTATGTATTTTTAAGATATATTTTGATATATTACCCTCCGGTTAGAGCAACTAGATTAAAGGAATTTATCATTTTTACAATTTTTAGTCTTCTGAGATTTTTAAATAATCAAAGAAATGTATATATTATGAAATTTTTATCCTTCTGAGATTTTTATATACACGTGCCTTTTGAGGCTTTCATCCTTCTAAGGTCTTTTATATACTTGTACCTTTTGAGGCTTTCTGTCTTTTAAGGTCTTTTGTGTACCTATGCCATTTGAGATTTTCATCCTTTTAAGGCTTTTGTATACCTATGCTTTTTTAGGATTTCAGCCTTCTAAGATCTTTTATGTACATATGTCTTTTGAGGCTTTTAGCCTTTTAAGGTCTTTTGTTTACTTGTGTTTTTTGAGGTTTTGTCTTCTAAGGTTTTTTGTGTATATGTGCTTTTTTAGGTTTTTTTCTTTATAAGGTTTTTTGTGTACATGTATCTTTTGAGGCTTTAAGCCTTCTAAGGTCTTTTGTTAACCTGTGCCTTTTGAGACTTTTATCCTTTTAAGATCTTTAAATAAGTGATGACCCAATCAACCATTTGCCCTCATAGAGTCTTTCTAGTGAGGGTCATATCCACAACTAGCTTTCCTTCGAGGCTGCCTCATGGGTATACCTTCATGGGTTATTTATTAAAGCGTAACTTTTTATTGAAAAGGTTGAGAAAATCCATAATGAATATTTGACATATATGAACTTGTTTGTTAGATCTTTGCTAAATAATGTTAACATGTGTGAAAGAAGCTGAAAGTATCTACCAAGAATGTATGACATATCTGAGATTATTAGGCAGAGCATTGCTCGATGATGTTAACTTGTGTGAAAGAGGTCGATAGAATCCACCAAGGATGTATGACATATCCACGCGAGGTTGTTTATCAGAGTATTACTCGATGACATTAACATGTGTGAAAGAGGTCGAATCGAATCCCCCTAGGATCGATTATGTCTTGATTAGGAGGGGGCTGATGTCGCACGTATCTCGAATAAAAAGTGAAGAATGATCTATCTTTAAACTTTATTTCCTTTTTGAGTTCCAAGTTAAGACTTTTCCTAGGGAGTAGTAGTCTAATTAGGGATGGAATAAAGCTTGTAATTTATTGGAAGAATCATTGCATTTGTGGGAGTTTCTAGATATTATTTTGGATGTTAAAAGTTTTAGAGAAATTTTCTTCGCCACAGTTGTAGCCAAGATTGACCCCCAGTCCACATCTGATTCCTATAAAATTAATGCAGCAATGGCAGATACTAGAGAGGCGATAAAATAATGCATAAGGGTTATCCTTAATTGTTAAAGGCTTCATTTATATCTAATAATAAATCTTGGCAAAGGGACTATGTTGCTTCAACCATGCCCAAGATGTTAACATGAATTACGTTTTGAGGTTGCAAAAAAAGTTGCTCCCCCATCTAGGAATCACATTCCCATAGATGATGCTAAAATGTTGCATCCTAGAATATTCATGGTGAT